TCCAAAACCAAGCAAAACCCTGTTATCAATGACAGTCATAGGGTGTTTTTAATTTTCCATATGAAAATATGTAGACAAACTGCTACAAAGGGAAACATTTTCTTAATGTGTACAGTTTCTTGATGTCTGTCCTAAATGTCATCTCAACCTTTGTTTAAGTATGTACTTGATCAATTATCTTCATGTAAGTTGCTAAGAGCAAAGGAAGATTTTCTGGATTCTAGAGTTGTTAACTGGAAACCCAGAGGTTGTAGCAAAACACTTCTTACTAGCAGCTGTCTTGCTAGGGCCTGTTCATAATGATAAGGATAGAAATATGATGTTTATGCCAGGGAAGGCACATAATTCTGGGGAAGGAAAAATACATGGAGGCTAAAGGAAATTCATTTCTATCAAGAGCATTTCTACAATTACATCTGTGCAATTATAGAGCAATGAATAGGAGTAGTTTGAACTAAACACTATATAGGTACATAACAGACAGAAATAATAATGAATTGCTTCAAATGATTTTGGAAAAGAAACAAGTAATTTGAGATGAAATGTTTGATTTACTTAAAGTATCCTGAACTCTGAGGTCTTCCAGATGTAAAATACCTCTTCTTAAGAATAAGTAGAAGCCCAATCTTTAAATTATTAAGAGTTAAAAAGGTCCTGCAAACTAATGTCAAGTTTTACTAAGGGGAAAGTAGATGCAAAGTATACTAGTACTCTCTGTACTATCTTCTCACTAAAACTGTTCTAAAAATAAAAAATAAAATAAAACCTATCTTAAAAAAAAAAAAAGGTTGTGCAAATAATATGCACTGATATGGATCAATTATAAGGGAAAATAACAGAGTTAATATTGAAAATATTTAACAACTGGAATCACACGAAGTACCAAGCAATCAGAATGGTTGCTGATGACATATCCAGTTGTGCAGGTGTGTAGCAACTGAATATTAGTTCTGGAAAAAAGCAGGCTGTGAAGCAGAAGTTTCCCCTTGTGCAAAAAGTAGGGACAGGAAGGATGCTTGGGTATGTTTATATATATTTGTATATGCACAGCTTAGAAATATACATAAGAAACTGAGGACAGTAGTTGCCTCTGGTGAGGAACTGGGTAAATTCACCATGTAATTTATTGTTTAAAGCAGGTCAATTTTGAGAGTAAATGTGAATGTTATTAATAGTTCTTCCAGGACAATAGGCATAAACTTGTCCTATACTGGTAAGTCAGGATATATGATACTCCTAGAACTGGGGCAATAGGGCTTAGAGTTTCAAGGCTTAGAGTTGACTGAATTTTCACTCTATCATACAATGATACATGGCTCCTATACTCTTTCTAAGGTTTTTTTTTTATTTTATTTATTTATTTGAGAAAGAGAGACACACAGGAAGTGCACTATAGGGGGGGAGGGGCAGAGGGGGGAGGGACAGAGAGAGAGGGAGAGAGAATCTCAAGCAGGCTCCACGCTGAGCATGGGGCTCAATCCCCACGACCCTGAGATCATGACCTGAGCCAAAACCAAGAGTCAGACGCTTAACTGACTGAGCCACCCAGGCACCCCTCTTTTTAACTTTCTTTAAAAGTAAAAAGAACCCTGGAAAATGGAATGGCTATTCAATCTACAATGAAATGGGAGAATGTTAAAAAAAATTTTAATCTTTTTTTCCTTTCTATCCTTATCATTATGAAAGAAATCTAGCTATTATTGTTAAGATTAAGGGCAAATCTGGATATTGAAAATTTGGTCCAATAAACTTGTAACAATGAAAATGATGAAACAACTTCTAAAGCTAAGCAGTCAGAATAAGTGGTCACATAGTTGTAGAGTTTGGGCTATTGATTTGCCAGACATATTAGTGTAAGCTCAGGGGCTGCTCCCACTTCTTCAAAGGGTCTTACATAAGAATGTATTACTATTTCTTTCCCTGTCTTCCAACATTCAGTGAAAAGTTTTGAAGTGTAGGTAAACCAAACTCAAACATAGTAACTCCATTATGTTTTCTAACAGTATGTTTGTTTCAGTCCCATTGATTTAAAATTAGAACATAATGTAGCATAATGTATAAACTTGCCAAATCACTACGTTGTTCACCAAAAACTAATGTAACGTTGCATGTCAACTATACTCAAAAATTCATAAATAAATAAATAAAATTAGAACATAATATTAACAATTATAACTTAAAACTTGGTCACCTGGAGAAAATGATGTTATGTGAATAGTGAATTAGAAAAAATGATGTTGGCAGACAATCTTTGGATATATAGTACATGTAATTCTTAACCTACAAACTTTACATGCATTAACCCATTTAATCCTGATTTAAGAACAAAATCCTGTGGAAAAATAGGTACTGTTATTATTCTCATTTTACAGATGAAGAAAACTGAGTCTCAGAGAGGTTAAGAAACTTGCTAGGATATGTGGCCAGTAAATGGCAAAGTCAAGATTTGAACCCAAGTCGATAATTCTAGAGCCTGGTTTATTAACCATGGCGCTACCTTGCCTCCTGGGTCTGGGTGGGTAGCTAAGAAACTTATGTTGCAATTCCAAATAAACCACTTCCGTATTTTCTAAATTAAAACCAGGATGTGGAGTTTGACAATGGGTTAGTGTGTTTCATGGGTTTTCCCCCATGAAATCCAAGACAAGAAGTTGCTGCAACTACGTAGGTTTTTGCTTTAATCCTTTGGTTACTGTTTCCCCTCCAGTGTAGTGACAGAGGAGGGCCAGATGATTCTTAAGGCTTCCCTTGCTGTATAAAATTAGGAAAGCCTTTTACATTACGAGCACTTTTGGGAGTGCCTTCCAGAGATTAGCTTCATCATCCTAACAGCCCCATGACACAGCATTTGATCCCTATGATAGAGGTGAGCAAACTAAGGCCCAGAGAATTTGTACACTGCCCTAGGTTAAACAGCTAGTAAGACTCAAACCCAGGCAGTCTGACTCCCTAGTCTGCATTATTAACTACTCTGCAATGTAGCCTCTTGTTATAAATCTAGAATAAATTACAGATCTAGAATATAAATTGCAAAATATAGAATAAGTCCAGAATAAAAGAGTTCTTCCCCGGAGACAGACTTTCTTACATGTGGGGAGCAAATTTATTTTTATTTATTTATTTATTTGAGAGCGAGCAAGTGCGTGAGCATGAGCCAGGGGAGGGGCAGAGGGAGAGGGAGAAGCAGACTCCCCACTGAGCAGGGAGCCCGATGCGGGGCTCTATCCCAGGACCCTGGGATCATGACCTGAGCCGAAGGCAGATGCTTAAC